CTTCATTGCTGTTTTTCCCTCACTTCCCCTTATCGGTGTCGAGTGTGGTCACCAATCACAGCGTGTATTCCCATTGAGTCTTAGTCTTGGAAGGGGGTTTTCTCTGAGGGGACCCGACCACTTGCCTTGATGTTTTCTGGAGCCATAAGGTTTTCATGGGCTAATTTTTGGAATTAGACCACCAGGCCTTTATTCCTAGTCTGTTATAGTCTGGAAGCCCCACTGAAACCTGTCCATCGGTGACCCTGCTGGTATTTGAAATATCGGTGGCATAGATTTTTATATCACAGCAACATGCAAGCCACCACAATACGACAAGCTGACAGATGGGAAGTGGATGAATTTGATCTTATTGTCCATTTATGAAAAAGAACTCTGGTTATGTAAAAGGCACAGATTCGCACAACACTCTTGTTTGTAGGTGTTTTCAGGGTTATTTTCACTGCATCTTCATAGAAGCCTTCACTGGAAAGCTACTTATAGAATTATCTAAACCTTTACCTTAACGAAACTCTTGTTGGTCCTATCATCTAGAATTTGAGGGTGTGGATTGGTTTTGTAATCTGCATACAACATTAACACTTTGATTTGGGAATCTCTCCCCATTTGGTCAATCGAGCAGGCCACATCAGAGTTCATTTCCCTTGAGTTTCTGTGTGGTGGTGTGGTGGGACTTGTCCTCCCGTTTGTGGAATTACCCTCAGATGCATTTGTTCTGTATTCCCCTCTCTTTGTGGCTCCAAATCTGGAAACAGAATACATGCCAAGAGTCCCGGCAGAGAGAGATTGACAGAGATGAACAAAAACATCACTTAGCACATTTATGGATGGGAGAAATTAGACAGGCTAAACCAGGGAAGAAGGACCCTTCCCCACCCCCATGGCGTCATTTGTTTTTAAGAAAAGTATGGTAGAGCTGATTTCATTTCAGGACTTTCTGAAAACTCACAGAAAGGAGGAATTTTGGGAGTCTGAAGTGAGTTTTAGAATTGTCCTCTAAATATTTGCCGGAGTCCAGGTTTTTTATTTAATTGTCCATTTGCACCCTGCTTCATTCCAGTGAGGAAATGAGGCAGCAAGAGGATTTGCATGTTTGCATATTAGGTGGAGGCATTGTGTCATCAGTGTGGACTCTGGCGAAGTCAACATAACTGAGAAACAATGCAGCAAACCAACATGTGCTTGTCGCCAGAAGTGCATAGAGATGCGCTGGAAGGAGGGAAAATGAGATAGATTAAATGTATAAATCCTCCCTAGAACAGTGTATTTAACAGGCGCTCACTTAGCAAGTTAAGCACAGTTAAGGAAGGGTGGCAAGAAGAAAACAGTGTTACTGCCCTTTAGTAGTTGATAATCTAGATGGGGTGTCCAGGCACTGACACAGGAGAATCTGGGCCTTGGCTGTCAGGGACTGAGGAGGACCTGTTGTGTCCAAGATGCAAGATTTCAGGTGAACGTTGATGGGCTGAAGGCAAACAGGAGCAAAAAGAGCAGCTTACCTGTAATGTGCTGGAAGCATGTGTTTGCCATTCAAGACATTGGAGTCCCGGTGTGGCGCTGTGGGCGAATGCATCAGACTGCAAAGTCATTTGAACTACAAGGTTGGTGGTTCAAGATCACCAGCTACTCCTTGGAAACCCTATACAGGGTCACTATGGGTCGGAATCAACTTGACGGCACTTAACAACAACTGTGGCTTTGCTAAAGCCTGCCTTGTCTAGCCTTCTCTGTTTTGTAGCAGTACTTAGCACGAGCTAAGTACTTTTCCTGATGTAATTTTTCCACATCCTTTATGTGGGTAAAAACCAGTCTGGAGGCAACATAAATCCTGAATCTGCTTCCCATCAGCTGGATGACCTCAGGCAGATTTCATAGGTTCTCAGAGGAGTTCTGATGTGGCACTGTAGAATAAACACTGAACTGCTAATATCAAGGTCAGTGGTTCAAACCTACCAGCCACTCCTTGGAAACCCTATACAGGGTTGCTATGAGTCAGAACTGACTCAACAGCACTTAACAACAATGTAGCTCAGATGTCCATCTCTGTGATAGAGCGTTGGCCCCCTTCACAAGGAAGAGATAAGAATGAACGAGAGCTTATGTGATGTTCCTGGCCAGCATATAATAAGAACCCATTGCAGTTCATAGAGACCCTCTAGGACAAAGTAGAACTGCCCCCTAGGGTTTCCAGGGCTGTTATCTTTATGGGGAGTGTCTAAGGCCCCAGACTTAATCTTTTGCTTCCTGCACTAGGGGTTTCTGGTCTCCAAATGGAGGTATGAATTTTAATCCCACTTCCAACACAGTTTTGATGCCCTGGTGGCACAGTGGCTAAAGCACTTGGCTGTTAACCAAAAGGTCAACCAATGAGTCAAACCCACCAGCTACTCCATGGGAGAAAGATGTAGCAAGTCTGCTTCCATAAACACCTGTAGCCTTGGAAACGCTTATGGGAAAGTACGACTCAGGCCTGTACCTGTGAGTTGGCATCAACTGGATAGCAGTAGGTTTGGCTTTTTTGATTAATCTTTATGGAATCAGACGGACACATAGTTCTCCCAGAGTGACTGGTGGCCTTGAACTTCTTGCCTTTTGGTTAGCAGCTAAGTGCTTAATCACTCTGGTATCAGTGCTCCTTCAAGCTCCTTCAGGCTTTATTGAATGTAGATGATCAATAAAATTTACTCTGTATCCTTGTTCTTCCCTATAGTTGGCTTTTTCTACCTGAGGACTTAGAGGGGAGGACGTCCTATCAGGGTTTTGTTCTGTGGGAACAAGAGAGGGAAAATAGGGAAGAATTCTTAATTTTGGTTTGTCCTACCTTAGCTGCCAACTAGGACAAAGAGTAAGTAGTTCAAATGTAAATAAGATGAGTTTGTTGTTGTTAAGTGCTGTTGAGTCCCTGGCTCTGACTCATAGGGACCCTGTGTAGGGTTTCTGAGGAGCAGCTGGTGAGTTTAGGATCGTTGTTTATGTAGTGTGTGAGGCCCACCCAGAAAAGAGAATGTCACCTTATACTTTCATTCTTTTTTTTGGTCTTAGATGCAGAAAAACCAGGCTGGTCTTCCAGTATTCCTTATAGTCTCTAAATCAAAGCTGACACACATTTGAAATCAGAGCTGCTTTCTGTTATTCTAACTCCTGGTTCAGGCAACAATGGCTTACCCTGAATAGCACCCTAGTTTATACCCAAGTTTCACCCTAGAGGCTCAAGGCAGCAAGGATTGCAAGCTCCAGTTTTCACATGAGTTGGGGTGGCCCCAGCCCTAGAAGATAGCAGTCTCCCATTTATTTGTTGCTTGCCCTTTTCAGAACCAAGAGCCGCTGCGAGAGGAAGACTCCGATTTCATCCTGACAGAGGGTGACCTCACCCTGACCTATGGGGACAGCACAGTGACTGCTAATGGCTCCTCAGGCTCCCACACAGCCTCCACAAGCCTTGAGGGCGGCCGGAGAACAAAGAGTAGCTCTGAGGAAATGCTGGAACGAGACCTGGGAATGGAGGACCAGAATGTTTCAAGCCGGGGCACGCGCCTGGTGTTTCCTCTGGAGGATAATGCATGACTTTTCCCCCAGGCCTTGAAAGTGATGGGGTAGGCCCACTGGTGGGTTGGGGATGGCCACAGGCCCCAGTGTTATTTGAGGTGGGGTATTGACAGAACTGAACTAATGCTTCTATTTTATTGGGGTCTGAAGGTATCTTAACACTTAAAATTAAACCCAAGATGCAAATGGCGGGGCTAAAGCGTTTCTAAATCAAGACAAATGCAGACCTATTCCCACTTTTTCACATAGTAGTACGCTATTTCAGAGTTAAACAAAAAATAGCATGCTGTAGCGGTCTCTTCATTCATTCACCTGCAGTATCTGAACGAGGTGAGGCAGGTGTTGGGGATTTCTCCCACGAGAGGCTTCATATTTTTCACAGCAGTGTCAGGCTAGCTTGGACTCTGAGAGAAGTTAGGGGAGAACAGTCTAGAAGAAAGCTCACAAAGGAAGACAACTGAGGTTGGGCCTCCAAAGATTATGGGATTCTGTTGTTAAATGGGACTGGAAACAATCTATGGAGGTTCTGGAGGCAAGGCTTGCGGGACTTCCTTCACCCTCATATTAGGATTCCTGACTTTCATGCTACCTGTGTTCTCTTTAGGGAGAAGACTAGAAAATATATCCATGAACATTTCAGCATGGGAGAAATATAGTTCCTTCTCTGGAAAGCTCCAGAAAGAAGTAGTTACTTTGAAACCAAAGGCAAAAGTATTACACTGTTGATTTTGTTTTTATTATTATTAATTTGAGGACAGGAAGTATTTGGAAACTGCTGATAATGCTGCAAAAAGAATTCAGTTCTTCAGGACCACCATATAAGTCTGATGCCTGAACTTTGCCCCAAGAGTATGACCAGGAAATGGTTTAGTAGGGTTGATATCTCTACAGTGGACTGGGTGTTTTAAGGAAGGAAAGGCAACAAGAAACTTGAGAAGCAAAAGGCTTGTATTTACAGGAGAAAAATAATCTCACTGGAAAAAAACCAACAACAGAAAATTGTAACTGCAAAGAGAATGCAGGGTAGTATTCTGAAGACTGGGTAGAATTCCAAACTCTGTGCTGATGAATGAGATTTCAGTGGCCACCTAAGGAATTAGAGGGGAGTCACTGTAAAGTTCACTGGGTTCAGTAAATCCAATGAAGGGTGTGGATCTCCTGAGATGATAACACGTCTAAGAATCCAGGTCTCGTCACATCATTGAGTGAGAAAGGTAGTAGTTGGCTTGATACCAGTTTAATGTGTGGATGTAGTTAAAATTTTAGTTTTTAAGTTTGGGTTATTTTACCTGCAGCAGTAAAATACTGACATTTCTTGGAACGTTTGGGTTTCTCCCCATGTCTCTATCCTTTTGTGCTGGCACATCTAGAAACCCATTTTTTTTTTTTTTAAATGGTTTTATAACATGTGATCCTTTTTCCTATTATGGTAGATAAAAAAAAGTGTTCCAAATCAAGTATAGCCATAATGAAAGCAGACATTTAATCTTCTTAACTCATTTTTAATGGTTACTTTAAAAATGAGACATTGCTTTACACTGTATGGTTTTAGGCAAACCAAGAAAAATTAAGTAGGCTGAGTTATCTGAAAGTGCTGATACCCAACCAGTTTTGAAAAACAAAACCGACAATGTCATATGGTTCAGTATAATCTAATTGAATGCCCCCCACCTCGATTCCTTTCTATCTACAATAAAGTCCATTTTGATTTTATGATTGTCCGTGGGCTTTGTAAATTTGAAAAAAACACCTAAATAACATACCTAACTCCATGAGGTTTAATGCAGGACTTAAGAGAATCCTATGACCGATAGCTAGGGAAAGAGCTTTCTTAGTGAGTCCTTGGAAAAGAGGTTATTATGTGGTGGTCTCAGGCTGTAGAGAGGAGCCCTGTGGCACAGAAGTTGGTTAAGCGCTTGAGAAAAGACCTGGTGATTTGCTCCCATAAGTTTTACAGCCTAGGAAACCTTATGAGAGGTTCAACTCTGTCCTATAGGATTGCCACGAGTCAGAATTGACTTGTTGGCACTGGATTTTTAGGCTGCTGATAGCAGCCGCTAGGGGTAACAGATGAGTGGATGTTCTCTGGCCCAGAAGCAACACAGATGTTTTTATTTAGTAGCATCAGTAATGACCAGTTATGCCATATTAACTTAAAAAGTGAGGGCTTTTTTGTGGAGTGGGGTGGGGTGGATAGAGTAGTTGACTCTTTGGTTGGCCCTTTATAAAGTCTTGCTTACCATCATATATGTTACTTATTTATATTATTTTATTTGGCGGGGGAAGAAACTAATAGAAAAAGCCTGATAATGGTTCTTGAAAAGAGCCAAGCAGCTAGGATACATTCTATCTCCACTAACTTCAAGGATTTGTTGTCACTTGGATTTCCTATGAAACTGCCAGCAAATTATAAGAAATTATCCTCAGAGAAAGGAATAACCACTGAGTTTCCCATCTTAGTCTTAAGTCAAGCCATAGATTGTTGTTGTTGTTGTTGTTTTTACCCAGGTGGTCTCACAGTCCTTACTACTAACATTTTATTCTGATCCATACTTACATATAAATACACGGATATTGTTTTTAAATGTCTTGGAGTCGGTTCTGACTCACAGTTACCCTATTTAGTGTTTCCAAGGAGTGAATGATGGGTTTGAACTGCCAACCTTGTAGTTAGCAGTCTAGAGCTTATGTTACAGCATCACATCTATGACCAAAATTTAGATAGCATTGTAGTTTTTTGGTTGAATCTTTTATTCAGTGCATCAGTGCAAGTCACTTTGATGAATAGTTCTAATTTTTTGTTTGCAAGATGTGGGGAATAATCCTGACCTTTCAAGGGGTTCTGGAAAGATGAATCCATTCATCAAAAATTTTCCAATTCTAGAAGCATCATGCCTAAGCTGGAGACAAGTAAGAAGCCCTGAAGCCCAGAAACCATGTAACTTCACAGCAAACTACCTGATACCAGTCTCCCATAAAATCAGATGAAAACTAATGGTAATGATTCATTCAGCTAAACAGTTACTCTTCTGCTTAAAAAAGTCATAAACATAATTGTCTTGAGTGAGGGAGAGAAGAAGATGGCAGGCAGTTCATCAGTCTAATGTTCTAGAACAGAGATTCTC